CAACCCCCAAGTCCTGCCCCCCAGAGTCCGTCCCCCCACCCCCTCCCCTCCCCCACTCACGATGGCCTGGTTGAACTTGGACTCGATCTCCCCCAGCAGCCAATCGAAGGCCTCCCCGCTGAGCCGGAACTCCTCCACCATGCGGCGGCTGCAGAGGGTGGAGCGCAGGTGGATGTTGAAGAGGAGGGTGGCGTTCTCCTGCGCCTGCCGGCTCAAGGGGTCGTCCCCGTTGACGATCACCAACTTGCGGCTCAGCTCCTTCACCCCTGAGGGAAACGGGGGGAGGGGGAAGCTCCTGGGGGTCTCCAACTCCCACAAAATCTTTGGGGGGGTCTTCAAGTCCACCAAGAACCTTCCTGGAGGCCCTCAATGTCCCCCAATGCCTTCCAGGGGCTCATCAAGACCCACAACAACTTTCCTGGGGGACATTGGGGTCCTCCAAGACCCCCAGAACCTTCCTGGGCTTCCTCAAGTCCCCTGGGAACTTCCTGGAGGATGTCTGGGTCCTCCAAGACCCCTGGAACCTTCCTGGGGGTCTCCAACTCCCACAGCATCTCTTTGGGGGGGTCCTCAAGTCCACCAAGAACCTTCTTGGAAGTCCTCAATGTCCCCCAACGCTTTCCAGGGGCTCATCAAGGCCCATAACAACTTTTATGGGGGACATTGGGGTCCTCCAAGACCCCTGGAACCTTCCTGGGGGTCTCCAACTCCCACAAAATCTTTGACGGGGTCTTCAAGTCCACCAAGAACCTTCTTGGAAGTCCTCAATGTCCCCCAACGCTTTCCAGGGGCTCATCAAGACCCACAACAACTTTTATGGGGGACGTTGGGGTCCTCCAAGACCCCTGGGACCTTCTGGGGGGTCCTGAAGTCCCCTGAGAACTTCCTGGGGGACACTGGGGTCCTCCAAGACCCCTGGGACCTTCCTGGGGTTCCTCAAGTCCTCTGGGACCTTCTGGATGCTCCTCAAGCCCCCCCAGCACCTTCTTGGGGGACGTTGGGGTCCTCCAGGCCCCCCAGCACCTTCCTAGGGGGGGTCCCTGGGGTCCCCAAGTCCCCCAGAACCTTCTTGAGGACTAAGAAAATCCCTAAAATCCTTCCTAAGAGGTCACGGGGGGGTGGGGGGGTGTCAGGACCCCCCAATTTGGGGGAGGGCCCCCCCAAACTTACCCTCCACCACCTTGACGGGGTGC